GAGACAAAAGTTTTAGGAATGAAGACTGGAGACAGAAGCAGGGATTTGCTGATAGTCTTGAGGGGCAATTTTTATGTAAAACACTGTTCCACGACCTTTTTTTATCTCGTGGCACACCGTAATTTGTCAAAGACACACGACGTCACACCACAGAAATTCGCATGTGAATACAATTATCGATGATAAACCAGTCCGTTTATTATGAATTCTAATTGCAAACAACATATTACATTTTAAGTATAATGTATATATAATATACAATTTATTATAAAAATTCACGGCACATCTGAAACTCTGCGGCGACCCAGACGTGTACCGCGGCTCATTGGTTGCCAAACACTAATTTAAAGAACAAGATACCGACATCAGTGATAAGTTATATTCTCAACTAGCAAGTCACTGTTTATGAGAAACGTAAGATGTATTTTCAAAACATTCTCTGCCTGATATTCTTACCAAGAAAAATTATCGCTATGAAATATGAACGTAGTCTATATACAGTTACGTTTCAAAAAATGTGGGCCAACATATTTCGAGTAACTTCATATATAAAGCAGGTTTATATCGCCCTAAACCATCAGTGCTGATTAAATTTAATGAACGCAAATTAATGTCATCAGCTAGGTTCTTGTCACCATGGGCTGATGAGTCCTCAGGTTCACGATTAAGAAGAAAGTTTCCAGATATGAAAGACCGATGCTAATATACTGAATAAGCAGTTGCTGACAGCCGACAAGGGGTTGATGTGCGCATGTGTAACATCCCATATTCGTGAGTGGAGAACATTGGTCTTTTTTGTTTCGTGCAAAGATATTTCTTTCCCTTGTCTGTTATTTTTCGTTCTTCCGCTGTTCGTAGCATCATTTATTCATTTATCTGTATTGTCATTATTATTCTACGTTGTAAAGTACTACACATGATTTAAATGCTAACGTCTAATGTGTTTTATACCGACTCGCAACTGGTCGGCGGTACAGTGTAATTCAACCGCAGATGATATCCGCTTACACTGGTGTACAAACAAAACTACATTTCTCCATTCTGTTTATAGTTAATCCAATAAGATGGACTAAGAACAGAAACTAAACCATGCCTGATCTCTTTTCGCCTCTCTCCCTCTCTCTGCCTTTAATCCTACACAAGACAAAGAATACCTCTCTTACTGAAATTCCGGGATCCTTCCCCGTCTTACAGAATTCGACACTGACGTAGGATGAAAGTAGGATTGTATTCGCGGACTGAATAGGGAGTTAGTTGTAAGACACAGAAAAAAGACAGGCGAGATACTGGCTGAACAAAGCCTGCTATTGGAAGACTGATTCAGAATCCAGCACTCTATAAATTTCAATAAAGAAACGCTGTTCGCGTGATGCATTCCTAGGTCGCAAACGATTAGACACTAGATTTTAATAGTAATACTAGTTAGTAAGTGTAAATTTAAAGGTCTCTAACGATGATGCATTACATTAAATACTGCTGTTTCTCTGAATTTTATCAATCGATTAATATTCTAAAACAAAGCCACTACGTTTCGAGAGCCGATTCTGTTCCGATATTCAGATTCCACTGAGTCCGATAGAACGGACTAATCCCAATCTCTGGGCACTATCCTCTTCTATCGGACCGATTAGAATAATATAAATGATGAAATAGCATAACCTCAGTAGTAGAGTTTCATTAATTCAGTAAATGGATATCCGTAATATAGATGCCTCTACTGTGCAGGCCGATTTAAAAGTTACTGTGTATCCGTAAGAACCGTGCAGTTTCTGTTACAACACGTTTGAAGAAAGTTTGTGACGTGCGTCATCTAGGCTTTAGATTCTAGGGCGTTTACATGGACACCTGCGTCAGGTTAGGCAGACGTAGATAATCCATAAGCCCCAACTAGGTTTCGGAAATTGAACAGTGTGCATTCAGAAATTAAAAACTCATACAGACCTACCGACTATACAAAAAAAGCCTACATAATTCCTTCATCAAAAACACTAATTTGACCGTCATAATTAAAGAAATTCATCAAGTTTATACATTCAGGACGATAAAGTCTTATTGGTATGCATGCCGTGGTCCGAGAATCTTTAAAATTTTGACACTGAAAATAATCTTTACGTTTGGCGTGAAGTTACTAAAAATCTCAGCGGGAGACTTGAGTTAGTGCCCCTGCTGTGATCATAACCAACAGGGCTGAAGTATCTCTGATGTTTGACACCTAACATATGTACAACTTTAAGGTGTGTTTCCATAACTGCGGCGCTGATGCATAGCGGTGCGCGCTGTAACTAAACGACCGTTAAATTTGTATTTCAAAAAGTGTTTCTCAGTGACGAAAGTCCATGATGCACAGTCATCTTCAATAGACTGATAGTTGCTTAGCCGGTCAACAAATTCTCTGTTTTATGGAATCAGAAAGTCCATTACCATGTTCACAAAAGCCCTCTTCAGTCAGTTAAATCTAGTCTACCTTCCCATATCCTATTAATATAAGATCTGCTTTAATATATTCCTCTAATCTACACTGAAGTCTCGTTTCGTTTCACACAGGCCCTTTAAAAGAAATCCCAAAGGCTTTTCTCGAGTTGTAAGCACTTGAAGTAGTTATGCATGTTAATGCGAATAATATCGTGCAACCGAGCTTAATAGTACCAAAAGAATTTCTTGCTGTTCTTACCATAAATATCCCCTCAGTAACAATACATTTCCAAAACCACGTGCCTTAATTTAGCGCTTGTTAGAAGAACCGTACATTGCCGACACCATAACCTAACTTATGCCCACTGACGTAGCTTTCAGCACCGCTACACATTAACCAGTGATCCGCCATCTTAACCACAAAGCATCACCGGAAACGTATTTCTCTGTGACACACCGCCACTGTAAATAAAGTCAACTAGATTAGGTATTTTTTACGTTGTCCTTGTAAAATAACGTAGGAAGGGTAGTCAGGTGAACAAAATAGTACCTATATTTATCTAATTTACCATTTGGTTATGCATGTTACCGGTAGGAAATATGAGTGAAAGTGTGTAATTATCCGTTCATCCTGCTTTTTTCAACTCGATTCTCGTTACTCGCGTTATCTGCGCCCTTGCGTTGGAGCAATTATCTTGCTGGATAGCAACGGGGCCGCCCTAATAATAGGATGTAGACCCGCACACGGATACGCGGTTTCCACAAAGGAAACAGACACGCGAGAGAGGAACAACAGCGCCAGATGGGAATCTCAATTCAGACGCGACTTACAGCAAAATGAATCCTTCCCACTTCCAGCGCACTTTCACGTGTGCACGTAGTCTAATGGAGTGCACGTATTTACCCCAGATTGATTGAGGTTTGACATCTTTTTATTTGTATGTACTTTCGTCATTTGAATAAAAATTTCCTTGGATATTATCCATCGTCTAGTAAAATATAAAATATAAAACGTTCAGGAACCTGAAGACGGAGATAGAGTCCCATCTCCGAAACGTCGTTTTACGTTTTATATTTTATATTTTACTAGACGATGGATAATATCCAAGGAAATTTTTATTCAAATGACTCTTCACCATCGTCAAGAAGTTTTAGATTTGATATGTACTTTCGTATTGAATACAATGTATTAGGCGACAAAGGTGGACATTTAAGTACTTTTATTTCATATTTAATTCTGTAATTTTTACACGCATGACCCCCAGAAAAGTGACATACATAAATTGTGTAAATGTTTTAGAGTTTGGAAACTACAAACTTTAGGTTAAAAACTACGCGCCGGTTAGCTCATGGACCCAATATTTCAAACGTGGCCCACACAGAGAATTATTAAGGAATTTATAAAAAAAAAGTTTATGGAACGTATATTTATTACACTATTTTTTGTAGGCATAATACAGTACGATTATCTCTTAATACCATTGTGCTTAAGAATGGATGGTAGTCTAAAACTTGTTTTGAAATCATTACTGTAGAACTACATTGAAATAGTACTGATTTTCTTTCAATTATTATTTTTGGGGAAAGATAAAATCAAATATCAATGAAACTGACGTAAGGAATACTTTTAGCACGAAGTACTAAAATGTAATGACAATTTACAGATCGTCCCTGAGTCCCATTGGATTTACAGAAGCAACATAATCAACTGATAAAACTCATTTAACTGCAGAATCGAGAAGGTACAGGAGCCCTGCCGTATGGCTTTGTGAGCTAATCCGATGCAGAACGTATAGTCTAATCAATACAAACACATTAAACTTTATTCTTCGATAATTCAAATAGAAACAGCAAACAGTGATTTCAAAGTGGTGTTGCGTAAGAGCAACACAGCGCAGAGTGCTTCGCAAATGTTTCTCGAGGCCCCGAGGAGAGAGTAACGTTGCATGGCTTCCGTGTGATTAATATTGTCTCTATATAAGTGGAAAGTCATGGTATTCCCAACGAGAGCTGCCTAACAAGGAACAAATTCTGACTTAAATCTTCTGAAAGTTGTAAAGCTTGGGACAGATCATAGCTGACGTAAAACTGACTAGTGAGGTCGTATATTTTGGCCTTGGATGTCATCAAACATTGCAACCAGGCATCAAGGAAAGCCCTTGTAACCAAACACGCCGAGACTGCCCCTGGGGGTCGGACGTCGGCTTATCGTCACGTTAACAGCATGTATAATACGTCAGTCTTCACAAGTAATTAATTTCTGTAATGTAGCATCACGGTACCACTCTCATGTATTCTTGGCTAATATACCACTTTTCCACACATCTTCCACTATTTTATATCTATTTGAATTGTATGTTTGGACCGAAAACGTTTACCATCCGGTTCACTTAAACTGTATCCAAGCTTGAATTATGTTTGGACCGAAAACGTTTATCATCCGGTTCACTTAAACTGTATCCAAGCACATCTTCGATGCAAATAATAGTTGTGATGTAAACTATGGGCTCTAACAAGGTCACGATAACAGTGTGACTCTGCCTATGGTTGCATGCTTATGACCTGAGATAAAAATATTTAACACTTACCAGCAGCTCGTAATTACTGATTTGCAGTCCGACGATCCCACATAATTCTCCATCACCATCAGGATTAAAAACACTGTTCTTTCTGCAAGTCACTACCACAATCACATGTCACGATAATTGCCAAAGGCGAAGTGAATGATTTGTGACAGTACAGATCGCAGCGCACATGCGCAATACGATGACGCCGTCACTAGCGCTGTGTTCTGTAACGGTTGTCGTGCTTCTAGACATAGTGAGTCAGCCCACTGCATCGTCACGTAGCCTTTTTCATCTCTGCCACTGACGGAGGTAAATAACGAATTTCGCAAACCAGCCGCTTTACTGGCCGGGGAACAGCTTATGGTAAACACTGGCTTTGAGGTTATCTGGATCCGTGAGCATTTTTGAACGTACCCATGAAATAAAAATATCACAGCCTCTGCTTGGAATCAAACCTCAGCCTTCTGGCTATAAATGAATGCTCATTAAACATAAAAAGTTGAAAAGAGGTGGTCTACTCGGAATCCAGTCCTCGAACTGAAAATTGTCTTAGATGTTGCATAGTTTCCTCCATTCTCGATATAAAGTGACTAAATAGAACACCCATAACCGTTTTATGTTGCCCGCAATGTGGGCAGATGGCAACTAGAATGTGTAAATAAATATAAGATAATTTCTCACCATAAAATGACTTGATAATCTGCACTAAAGAATTAATCTTTTATTTTCCCTCTTTTATGAACCGCGTTGTAACACACAAGCTTCTTATGCTGTACCTTGTAATTACTCGTCATTCGATTCTGCACAAGTCTCATAAAATTGCCAGCAATTTTCGTGAAACCTTGTCAGAATAATTAAATTTTGTGTGGAATTTCTGTCGACCTTGTCCTACACATTCTAAGAACGAACGCACTACTATTGCCTCCACCTATTACTTTCAATACGGATATCGTACGCAAGATGGCAGAAGTGGACGCGTTACGCATCTTATGCTCTCTCGTGTTGACGACCGTAACTAATAACCAACGTCTGATTCCCTCTAGTGTTAAGACACGGAACTACTATCAGGAACCTGCGGCAGAACCAGTTATTCAACCGGCCGGAAGATGGCACAGTTACTCAAATTTTTATTACACACGCGTAAAATATAATGAAACGAACATTACAGTTTGCATATATGGGCTTCATCTACTGATTTTTTTTGCAAGTGCGTAATTAAAACGTCGGCTCTGCCGAGTAGTTAGCAATCCTGCTGTGTATTTGGAAAGGTATGGGTAACAAAAGTTGACCCCCACACCGCACGATCGCTTCCTTCCAAATCCTTTCCAATTCATAAATCATGCGTCCGAGCTATTAACAACGTCCGTACAAAACACAAATAAATAAAATTATCACAGAAAGGTCTCTACAGATTACGACTTGCTTTCGGGGTATCACACATGAAAAATGTTGGATTCTCGTCTGTTACAAGGGTCCAAAGAGTATATCTGTATCTCAGAAGGAGATCTGATCAGGGTTTCTGACTTTTCTTTTTACCTCACTCAACATATTGTCCACGGGTTCACGTCAGGCTCCGGACATGGAGTGGATACGCGCGATAATCGAGTTCCTGGGCGCCTTCCAACTTGTCCATCCACCGGCAGAGACAGCCCTTAACCCGTCCCCGGCGATGCACCATGGCAGCGAGGATGGAGAAAGAAGGTTCCCTGCAACCTCACATGTTACTTATCTATATTATAGTAAGCCAACCAAACAATTGAAGCGATGTTCCAAAATGCACCCTCCTTCGTACTAAGGGCTATAAATTACCACTGCGATTTCAAACGCAAAAGGCAAGACACAAATAACGACAATCAAAGTAGGCTACATCGAACCCCTCTGTCCTGAGTTCGAGTCCCGGTAACAATGTTTTAAGGATTTAGGAAACTAAGCGCAACAGAAAAATCTGTTTTGGGTTCAAGTCGAGGTTATTGAGGAAAGTTTGTTTGTTGGAAAGGTTTTGTCAATGAGACCATTGTGTGAATTATTTAATTTTCTGCTTTACTATCGTATTTATTTTTAACGTAAGGAATGAGTTCTAGGTTCAAAATGCATGAGCAAGTCAATCTCATTTTATAATCACTGAGTTGAAGAAAAAGACTTATCTTGAAAGGCTGTTATTAACTTTGCAAGCAAGCAAGTAATAAAATGGCCATTTGTAAAGCAGATCCACGTAGGAATTACGAATTACAACAGTAGGCTACCCACTTAAGCTGGAAAAGTCTAGCCGGGCGTAGATAAAATATAATCTTATTTTACCTATTTCCCCCCCTTAGGGGCTGAAAAATTACTCGACAAATAAAATAGACTCCAAAGAGAGATAAACGAAACAAAGAAAAGAGTGAACGAGTAATTGAAGTTCTATCGAGAGATGTTCGTCGTTGGCTCTAAGCATCAATCGCTAGACCCACTGTTTTGATATTCAGAGCGTGTAAGACCACTTCAGAGACTTCAATATTTACTTCTACTTAGTCAATTGTTTCCTGTGGATCCATATATTAAAAAGAGAATTAGCTATTCATAATTCAGCTTCATGGCATGTACGATAATATTATATTTCAAAGCTGTATCATCCAGATGTAACTAATCTGGCATTGACACTTGGTTCTTATATTTATTACTAACACAGTAATATCGTTTTCTGCACAAAAAAAGTCTCTCAGCTGAGATATTGCACTTACTCATCGCCATAAATTATGGATCGGTGCACTCAACGAGGGTGGAATGTGCGCGAAAGAGCATTTTATTTTCCATACAGTGTACCACATATTTCAAATTACTTTTTTGTTATGTGACACTGGCAACAGCTGTGTTCTCCTATACCCATCTTAGGAACACGTATAAAAAAACAGCACACAAGAAGAAAATCTGTTACTGACAGAAGATTCAACACCGCATTGCACTGTGACGAAGTCTTCCGAATGTTAACAATTACGTGGCTTTTCCAACAGATGTCGTTCGACAATAAAATAAAACTATATTTTGCAAAATATTGGATAAGAACTTACGAGAAATGAGATCGGTGGTTTCTACGGCGAGGACATTGAGTATTAAGATTACTGTTTTCTGTGTTGTTGCACCGTCTAGTCTGGTGGAAGTCTACCGACGTTTCAGAGTTGCTTGCTGCCTCCATCATCAAGGCGCTCATCGACCATATGACGGAAGAAGACGAACCTATGATACGTCGGTAAACATCTCCATATTATACGGCGCAACAGTCCAGAAGACAGCCATCTTCATTTCGCTACTGTTTAAAGCCTGAAGGCACACAAGTCGATTAAATTATTGTAACAGTCTTCTAGTTTATGACGCAGTGTAGACCTACAGTTAATTTCCGACGTTTCGGTAAAAATTCTCGTATATCTTAAATAATAAGTAGGGAAGTGTCTGGAGGAGGCGGTCCAGACATACTTAAAGGCACTGTCTCCAGATTTGTCTGGAAGCTGTGCGGATAATATCAGTCAGGATACCAAGTATCAGGACTAACATTCGTATCGGGCGGGAGCCTCCCGAAAATTCATCTATAGCGTTACACTACACAAATCCTATTTGACCTGCATTGAAGTAGGTACTATTATCTGTTCAGGAAGTATGGAGCAGACATCAACAAACACTGGCCATGGAGTGGCAGCGTATTGGACTCGAGCCAGTAAACAACAATCATACTTGATATTACAGACTGAAGTGGATTATAAATTATGCACGAAGCTTACCTGTACACATTCCGAATATACTCGTAGTTGATCTGTAGGCTAATAAAATTAAGGATAAATATTAGACTGACATTTCAATATTTTCAACAGCGACAGAACTGAATTTTTTAAATGTTCAAGTGAGGTGAATTGTAGGATGTCGTATTCGACGTTTGCAAAAACAGCCCGAAAAACATTTGAGGCTTGCAGGCTTTCAATCAGGTGCTTCCTCACGTACATACACATATCTCCATACTTTTTCACACTAAAGTGCATTGTCACAGCTTTATCCTATTACGTAATAGTGAAAGCAATTCATAACTTGCTCATTTGGATGGGAGTTTCAGATTCTGATTTAATAATATTATCCCTGTTTTTAGATTAGGTACTATAATTTGTCTGCTCGCTTCGCTATGTTTTCGAATATCCTCACTCTTTCATTTCAGCATGTTCCAAAAAGATTCTTATCAATTCTGTATTTCCCTTTTTAATGCTGTGTTACAAAGTGTGTTGCTAGAAATTTCTGTGTTCGTTTCGTAAAGCGTACAAATAAATACACGCTTAAAAACAACAAAGCACAAACTCTTTTGAATGTGTATATAAAGATTAAAAGTACAAATACCGAACAAAACTGGTGAAGTTACAGCATTACGAGAGATTAGTCTGCAATAAGTGTTCATTGAATTACGTATTATTCCGTTATACGTTACAACGCTTTTGCGGTAAGACCAGTACTCTCTTTTAACACTGGATAAACCATAACATGACTTACGCGCTGAATCAATGTCTTTCCGCATTGCATGTGGTAAATCCGATAGCCTTAAAAGCCACAATTTTGCTTTTCAGTACTGGACTGGACTAGACATACAAAAACATTACATGGAATGTACTGGCTAAGAATAAAGACCCAGTGGTGGGTTTTATGTAGCTGATGAACATTTAGGTTTCGTATGTAAAGAGTTTTATTTAGGTTTCGCCTGTTAACTAAGGCAGATCGTGTACCATCTAAGAAAACAGCACGTATCTCCTTTTTACATTTCTCATATTCGTTTCATGCAATTCATTGCTTCTGTTGGTAATGATGCAGATGTTACGAAGTTTCATGAAAAAAGATTATTCCAGTTTTTGTAGTTTACTTAAGGAGGTAGGTTACAATACATGACTGAAATAGGTATGCTATTTAAAGCCGATTTTAGCTGAATAGGTTATTAATGACGTTATGTCGATATAAAAGGTTATTTACGTCGATTAAAGAGATATAAGGGTTATATTTTGTGTAATGACATTCTGTATCTTCCTGTCTTTCAACTAAAAACTATATACTAAAACACGCAACAGAACACAGAACGTGTTATTTTGCGCGAAATTAAAATTTCGCCGTTAATTTTAAGATCAGAACACAGATATAACATATCTTGAAATAAAATGACGAAAATATATTAGGACGTAGAAGAAGCTTAGATTAAATAACAAAGAAACAGGACAAATTGTTGAGATTTCAGGTTCTCACGGCAGCGAGAATGAAGATAACTCTCTTGCAGGATGCAACGCCGTGTACTCTTTGGAAACTGACTTATCGCCCTGACGATGGAGGTAGTAAAAACTTCTGAAACGTCGGTCAGTCTTAGAATTCATATTTGGTCATCTTAACCTAACATTGTTACATAGACTAAATATTTAAAAATTAGATGAAAGGAAAAATTATAGTACACAAGCAGAGACAAAATCATACAACATTATATTTAAAATAACGCCAAGAAAGAGACCATGTAGTTGACCTAAACATAGCTGGGAAGAAGGTATTAATATATATATATATATATATATATATATATATATATAGAATAAATGTAGTTATAAGGCGTAAACTGGTTTCAATTAACAACTATCAAAGGATCTAATGGTAATAGTTTGTGAAAACGTTACTGGACTATCGCTTTCATAAAATCGGAGAAGAATATTCATAGTTTAGTTAATGATTGGATTACAAAGAACGATGAATAATACTGAATCAGTATTTAAGTCTACATACATTCGTCTGTAAAATCTACGTTATATTAGGAATATTTTTCGAACCAAAAAATTTCGGAATACGAGTAGGACGAAACACGACTCATGCATGAGATCTGAATCTGTAAAAGTATGAGCTATTATTGATTCCTCTGGGAGGCAGAGACTGTATTCGTTTGATATTAGTACAGTGATTTCAGCTGACTAACGCCCATCGTTATTCACGTGTTCTTAATTTCACTCGGCAGCCATTTGGATCTTCTATGACAACCTACACTTCATTTACCCCTTTTCTGTTGATTTAAGGAACCGTACGAACTCGGGATGTAGACAAACATACGGTAATGGTACTTAAAATCCTCTTTTCACAAATATTCCCAACATAATCAGCACATGTTGGCATATGGGATTTCGTAGACTTTCCCTGCCAGCTTTCAGTGGTTTATTTGACCATCTGTCTTCCCCTCTGTAACTTTATGTACGCGAGTGTCCTTTCCCAGTTTGCCTTAATAAAAGAGCTTACATTTCCAGTTAATACATACTCAAAGCAGATCCTAATCCATTTGGACTATTTCTACTGACTGTCTACCCACTAAAATATAGGGCCTACTCTTGGGGAAGATACACTTAATTCAGGGGTGGATAATTATTTTTACTTCGGCGCCTGGTGGATTTGTTCCGAAGTCAACGCGGACTGCAGACTCTCGCAATAAAAATTTTGTTATCATAATTCATATTCGAAAATTCCCATTTTCCTGATAGGAACCAAAGGCAGCCTGCTCGTCTTTGATAGCCTAGGCCTTGTCGCTGTCTCCGCCTTCAGCTTGAAAGATTCCTACTCTGTAGGGTCCATTGAACGAATATGGTTCTCATCACGAGGTAAATTTTATGTTAAAAATTTCGTAAGTATCTTTGGGATATTCCACATGATCAAAGACACTAAATATAGCCGATCAGAACTCATT